TTTGCCACTGATGATTCAAACACGAGTTTTGAACAGTGTAGAGTAGCACTTGTTGTTTGTCATTTCTCCGATCACAAATGAAGACATGGTTTTATGTTTATGCGGCACGATGCAACGCAATGCGTAAAAAGACAGTATAAGTCATTATAATCCGTAATTATGTCCCCACTGGATGCAACAAATGCCTAGTTTGTAATGGGTTTTATTGGTTTTGTCTCATTGCTCCGGGACACGGCATCACAGTATGGTAGGGGCGTAACATTTCCGTTACACGCTTGAGGTATTCGGCCAATCACAACGCACTGGATAGCTGGCCAATCACAGCACACCTCGCTTTTCAGAACGATGAGCTTTGTAAAAATCGACGCGTTTCAGAAAGGCGGGGCATAGAGGAGAAACAATAATGTACAGTATGTGGAAAATAATGTGTTTTTTGAACCTTAAACCGCATAAACACATTTCATTACACCAAATACACAAAATAATGTTCTTTTTGGCAGCATCATATGACCCCTTTAACTAATGAACTGTGAACACTGGATAACTTTTCTGAGGTAAAACAAAGACTTTGGGTAAAAGCAACTTTAAGTAACATGCTGTTCCCAAGCTGTTTTATTGACGTCTTTCTCTGGGTTGAAACGCTGATTGATCAATTACATGAGATACATTTCAGTAAGTTGAACTTTATCTTTCAACACACCTTCTGATGTTCATTCATGTTTATTTTGCAATGTAACTTGGTCTCGTGTGCCGTGCTGCCGCTTGAACTGAAGTGCAACAGCGATCTGTCACATCACTGTAAAGAGTGCCAAAATGGCATTTATTGTTTGAATTTTGTAATAAAATGTACAGGATTTGAAAGCTGAGCCTTTGTTTCTTATTAGAAGTAACAACGCACATAGCTCTTTGCTATTATTGGATGGGAGGCGCATTAGAAATAATATTTAGTGAAGGAAAACCGCGGGTCTGGCAACCCTGGCTTGAACTATGGGTGGTTTATAGGGTCAGTCGTTTCTCCGATCACAAATGCAGACATGGTTTTATGCAACGCAATGCGTAAAAAGACAGTATAAGTCATTATAATCCGTAATTATGTCCCCACTGGATGCAACAAATGCCTCGTTTATAATGGGTTTTATTGGTTTTGTCTCATTGCTCCGGGACACGGCATCACAGTATGGTAGGGGCGTAACATTTCCGTTACACGCTTGAGGTATTCGGCCAATCACAACGCACTGGATAGCTGGCCAATCACAGCACACCTCGCTTTTCAGAACGATGAGCTTTGTAAAAATCTACGCGTTTCAGAAAGGCGGGGCATAGAGGAGAAACAATAATGTACAGTATGTGGAAAATAATGTGTTTTTTGAACCTTAAACCGCATAAACACATTTCATTACACCAAATACACAAAATAATGTTCTTTTTGGCAGCATCATATGACCCCTTTAACTAATGAACTGTGAACACTGGATAACTTTTCTGAGGTAAAACAAAGACTTTGGGTAAAAGCAACTTTAAGTAACATGCTGTTCCCAAGCTGTTTTATTGACGTCTTTCTCTGGGTTGAAACGCTGATTGATCAATTACATGAGATACATTTCAGTAAGTTGAACTTTATCTTTCAACACACCTTCTGATGTTCATTCATGTTTATTTTGCAATGTAACTTGGTCTCGTGTGCCGTGCTGCCGCTTGAACTGAAGTGCAACAGCGATCTGTCACATCACTGTAAAGAGTGCCAAAATGGCATTTATTGTTTGAATTTTGTAATAAAATGTACAGGATTTGAAAGCTGAGACTTTGTTTCTTATTAGAAGTAACAACGCACATAGCTCTTTGCTATTATTGGATGGGAGGCGCATTAGAAATAATATTTAGTGAAGGAAAACCGCGGGTCTGGCAACCCTGGCTTGAACTATGGGTGGTTTATAGGGTCAAACAGAACCCGTGTTAACAGCGCTGCATTAATCTGTTACTATTTAACTGGGACAGCCAAAATATAAAAATAAAAATAATGTAAAACATAATAAAATGTTGTGGTGCATTATTAAACTAGCAGAGAAATAACCATTTTAACAGTAAAAAATTTACCTGCTTCATTTACTGGTACTAAAACATTATTTCATAGCATAATTACATGACAAATGTAGAGCAAATAAAATAAAATAAAATTGTATTTAAATGTAATGAATAATTCTAAGATGAAGTGCTGACTGTAGCAGCCCAAGTAATTATCTGCATTATGGTTGAAAAGAAAATAGAAAAAAAAAAGAAAAGTAAAACATAATAAACAATTTGGATTAATTAAAAAGTATTTTAACAGTAATAAATTACACTGTTCATTCACTGTTATTAAAACATTATTTTATATGATAATTATATGACAAACGTAGAGCATATAAATATAATAAAATGAAACACAATAAAATAAAGGCTTATATATATTTTTCATATTAATAATTTTATATAAACATAAATGTAAATGGGTCAAAGACGTTAAGATGTCCGCATCAAAAGAAATGTACAAAAGTGATTATATGTCCATAGAAAGCACATTAAATGTAAGTAAAGGGTCTACTTTTTTTCAAATAAGTTTTTGGAGAATAAAATGTTAAGATTTGGTTGAAATAATGTTACATTGTCATTCAGTGTAACACAATATTTATGAAAAATTTCAAACAACATGCTGTACATATTAAAATATATAAAAGAATAAGGGAGCATATACAATTATATTGTGTTTTAAATGAGTAAAAATGCTTACTGACAAATGGGGAAAACCTAGGATAGTGGCAAATTTTAAAAATGTAAAATTACAACTAATTAGTATTTGGGGTGAAAGTAATTAGTCTTTTAATATGTCATAAATGTATTTTTGTTGTAAATATGCCTGCCCAGAATGTTACACTGAATGACATTTTAGTGGGTCTCTTCTGTAAACCAGGGAAAAATGTATGATATTTATTTTTGCTCAGAAAAACAAAACTGCAATTAAATTAAAAACGTTGTAATGAATGACATTTTAGTGGGTCTCTTCTGTAAACCAGGGAAAAATGTATGATATTTATTTTTTGCTCAGAAAAACAAAACTGCAATTAAATTAAAAACGTTGTAATTTTTGGGGGGAAAAAAACAACAATTTAAAGCAGTATTACACTTATTGTTTTTATGCTTAAACCCTTTTTTGTCTTTGACTCAAATATAAATCTAAATATAAATAGACTCATAAGTTAAGGTGTTACAGTGGCTGTCCAACTATTTATCTACATTATGGTTGAAAATGAAACAGAAATAAAATAATTTAAAACATGAGTAAAATAATGTGATAAGTTAACTTGACACACTTGATGTTAAGTGCACAGTGGAAGTATGCAAACGGGGAGGCAGCCATAATTTATTTAAATGTTATGCTTCATTTCCTATATAGTATCAGACATCCTGACAGTCATAATTATAATGAGCGGATCGATACCCGGAACGATTCCTGCACATGCATATGGACGCGCTGCTCATTTTCCTGGATGCTAAAAGCTCACACATGCTTTGAAATGCACTTTAGACCCGCCGCTTCAAAGGTTAAAGTACATCCTCCTGGCTTCACGGCCTGTTTGCAGACGCTGGACGCTGTGTTTAGCCACAGGCCTGTGCTAAGAGCTCTGATGAAAAGCTGAGATGTATTGCATTGATGGACCACAACAAGCAGCAGCTTCCTCCTCTAAAATCAATCACCTTGTAGAAAAAAGATCAGTCCATACTTAAAAGCTACTTATTGGGTTAGAGCTCAGACAGAGAGAGAAAGAGAGCATGTGATGGTGCCTTATGGATTTTTCCCTTCTTTCTGCAATATGATCCATGGAAATTCTTGGAAAGTGAGGGTGAAAGAGGATCACGTACAGTAGAGTGACTGACATGCAGAGACCTGAATAAACTGCTCCTCAACCTCAGTCAGTCAGAAAATACAGACATTCACACTGACAGCAACATGCAGGGACAATATTTCAGAAGAAATTTCTGAAAAAATATCTGGGGGAAAAAATCCAAGTCTAATAAATAAATATTAATAAATGTTCAAATTGATAGCTCTCAATTTTTATAGAGACATCAGTAGTATTGGTATCAGTGATACTGGCCATCAGTCATGAAAAAAGATGCCATTAAACAAACATTAAAAATATATTGTCTTTATGTTGTTTGTACATTAATTTGAAGATTGCATGAAATTATTGCAATATAAAAGTATATTTAAAAACTTTAATGTTAGTTGGGATTATTAATTAAAAAATGTGTGATTAATTAGTTATTTTTTAATCGATTGACAGCACTAATATATATATATATATATATACACACACACACACACACACACACACACACACACGTACTTGTTTATTTGATTTATTTAGACTTTATTTATTTTTCTTTATTTTAGAAAACTTTCTTTATTTTTTCTTTATTTTACTTATTTTCCAAGTTCCAATTGATTATTTAAAATAAAACATTTACAAACTTTATTTATTTATTTATCCTTGTTAAATTGATCATTATTTGAATATTAATCTGAAAGAGAACATTTTAATTTGCCAAGATGCATTTGATCAATCTAATTAAATGATCTGAAATGTATTTATTTATTGATTTAATTATTTACTAATTTACTTGATTTGTTTATCCTTTTATTTTTCATTCTGTCTAAAGGAGAACATTTTAATATGTTAAGTTGCATTTGATTATTTCACTAAAACAACATCTGAAAAAAATAGTAATTTACTTATTTACATACTGTACTTACTGTACATTATTTTATTTATTTATCCTTTCTTATTCTTTTTTCTGTCTGAAAGAGAAATTATGCGTTGTCAAGTTGCATTTTTATTATTTGGTAAAAAAAAAACACCTGGCCTACCTAAACTAAAATATAGCAATAAGCCCCGTGAAGCCGTGGTTTACAGTGAATTTATAGCAGCTAAGGGGCGTTGTTAGGCATGACACGAAGCAAAGTTTTTTATTATGAATTTCTTTATTATTAATCCAATTTTTATTATTACATTTTATACTTTTAAAATAATTGCTTTTATAAAACGGTTATTCCATATATGTAGTAAGGTTTCACAGAATAAAACAGAGCAAATAAAGTGTACTGATATAAATAAAAACAGTATTATAAAACAGATAGTTCTTCAGAAACAGTAGTGGTTGCAATAATGGCTGCCGAGCAACACACAGAAGTAAAAAAAGGTGTGTGTTTGTAGAGTAATTTACAACAGCTTTGAACGCGGCTCACCCAATCAGAATCAAGGACCGGAACGATTCGTTTTATAAAATTAAATAATAATAATAATAATAGTTGTTGCTGTTGCTGTTATTAAATGAACTCTAAATTAATTCTCTGATGGATATTAGTGTTTAAGCATGAATCTGTAAGTTAAGGACATGTGTTGTGTGTACCTGCAGTGAATGAAGTCCGGTACGGGGTTGTGAACGCTGAAGGACGCTGCGTCCAGATCTCTGCAGATCTCCACGTTATCTCCCGCCATCAGACGAACGGCAGCTTTGTTTTCATCTTCAAACACCTGCCTCTGCAGCGACGCACACAGCAGCAGCATGAAGTCATCTACATCAGACAAACACCAGAGCAGAGCAGAGACGAAACGAAACGGATTTAAAGGTCCCATATTGTCAAAACTGAAATTTCATGATAACTGAGGTGCTATGTAACTACCATATAAGTTTCAAAACAGTCAGTCCACAGTAAAATTCATACAGTCTGCATAAAGTAGCTGTGGTTTTTCACAGACCGTTGTGACTTCCTTAAAAAGTTGACGTCAGAAACACAGTCACCGCCTTCAGTCACCACCCCGAGCACCGCCCACCGTCCCACTCTCCTTTTGCCAAACCCCCAGACAACATCGCGTCCATGCCATTGCTGAGCAACAACAACACGGACACATGTCGAAAGGTTCACTTTAACCACGAAACCAGATCAGCCGACCTGTAATGTTACACTCTCACTCAAAGGATGGACGATCTGACAGGATTGTTACTATGAGGTGGATCACATATAACGTGTGTAGTAAAGACAAACTCACAGTGTCTATCTAGTCATGATGAAGGTGTATATATATTTCAATTTCAGCAGGCAACTATTTTTACAGCTACATTATTGTTCCAGCCACAATTAATCACAACAATGTATATACAATTACAAATGATTATATATAAATCGTCAGTTTGTTGTTTTACACACATGCACACAGACATTATTTCATACACGACATAGTCGAGAGATGCAAAAAACATACATCTATGGCAAGAAATCTGTAGCCCATAACAACAAAAGACAATACTTTATTGAACCTTTTCTGATAAGAAGTGTGCGCTGCAAACGTGAGCATTTTTGATGATCGTTTCTGTCCAGTCTGCTTGTTTTATCGCGTTTAACCACAGATGTCATCGGGTTTTTTGTTTGGCAGTGGTAGCAGATATGCGATCAAATTTCTAATTTGAGGCTGTATTACGTCGATTCTGGCACCCAACATCACAACAAGATGATATTTTAAGCTCCTTATGTAACTGAACCTGCGCTGGTTTGAATGGGCCGCCTCCAGTTTCCCCTTTGTTTTGCTGCCTCCAGCTAGCGCTGTGACGTCGCTGACCCTAGTTACCTGTGGTCGGCCTGGCCATGCGTCACTCAGAAACAACAGGCCAATCAGAAGAGAGGCTCATGAATATTAATTAGACAGGCCAAAATCGACCTGTTCTCAGCAGAGCTCCTGAGAAAGGAGCTGTAAAAATATATTGAGATGGTTTTTGGTACTTATACCACAAATATATATTCTTAAGCACTTCAAAACCTCAAATAAAACTCCAGAAAGGTGTAAAATATGAGACTTTTAAGGTTCAGTATGGAGGAGGCTGACGGTATTTTTGCATGCCTACTGGCCGCTGATGGCAGTTACACACCATCTGATACACACAGAGTACAACAAAGGATTGGGTGGCTTCACATAATTCATAAAAGGACAATTTATTACTTTTAGACAGACATAGACTGAGTTCTTCAGTGTTATCAAATCTCCTAATATAATTTATTGACTATGGCAGTGCAAGTAATTTTCTGTAGTATTTTGAAAATAAAATAGAACTAAAATAAAGCAACGTAAAACATAAAATATTGTGATAATTTAATAAACTAGCAGAAAAAATACTTTCTTTAATACTTTTAGTTAGGCATAAAGTAAAATATTTAAATTAAATTAAATTAAATTCTTAAGATCATGTATTGGCTGAGGCATTCATGCATTCATTTCTTTGGTGTTGTCCATCAGCGACAAACACTGTACAATTTCATATTTACCCACTCCCTAAACGTCACGTAAAAAAATAGAAATGTGTCCGGTCAGTTTGCATGTGGGTCAGAATAACCTGGACTGAAATGGACCAGATCTTATGCTGATGGTCAAAAGTCTGACCCTGCAAGTCTAAGAGGATTGATTTAGTTTGACCGCTGTTTCATGTTCACATGTCCTGCTGATCAGCACAAACTCTAATGTTAAATGGCAACACATACAGTATAAGCATTACTGATGAATATTTCTGAGGTATAACTCACAGACGAGGAACATGGAGTTGGGCTCAGTGTGGAAATCAGGAAGGTAAAGCCATTTAATGACGTCAGAATCCATCATGGAGCCAGTAAACCTCCAGGGATAATCTAGAAAGAGAAGTTCAGTACATTCTAGATCACTGGAAAAATGACCAAAATTCATACAAACATACAGATGTTATGGCATCACAGAAGTTGGCACATTGATTGGACAGCAGTAATGGTTTGCTACACTGAATGGACATAAAAACTCACATTTTGATGGTCACTAAGATGATGTTTTTATGAAGTGTTACAAACCTCAAAAACAAGCGGCATTTAAATAAAAATTTAGAAAATAGTAATTTCTAAGAATTTTTTTGAAGATTTCTATTTAAAAGATTTATTGATATTCTTACAAGGGAGAGGCTAAGTGGAATTGTAATTAAAGTAAATAAATATGATATTGAGTAACAATTAGGGATTGAACTGTCGATCAATCATTTTTAATCAAATTAAATACATGATATGCTGGACAATTAATCTTATTAATTGCATATCAATATTTGCAGATGAACCTCAAATGCCCCAATAAACAATTCAAAGACGTTTCATTATTGTTCCAGGCAGAAGCAGTAAATAGAGATCACACAGTGGCTTTAGAAGTCAATAATTTATGTTTTAATTTAAATTTTTTATCACTTGTCATAATCCTTAAGAGTATTTTTACACCCCTGAGATTCTGCATCAATATCAAACTGAATGGGAATCTGTGCTTAATCCCAGAATGCTGCAGTGCTCTTATATAGTGTAGTAGATGGAAACAGTCTAATACTAAAATAAATAATAAGTAAGACGTTTGAAAAGGCCCGGAGTAACACACCGTTACAAGCAGCCGGTGGGATTCCAATGCAGATGAAGTACTGGAAGGTGATCATGCAGGCCAGGAAGCAGCAGTATTTGGGCCAGATCTCAGCGATGGCTTTCCTCCGGCGTCTGTACATCACCACAGCCAGAGCCAAACCGTGCAGCATGGAGTAGAAATCCATCCGCTGACCCATCACATTGATCGACAACAGGAAACACACCTGATGCCACACCGGAACAAACCGAGAGAGATAGAACGATATAGCGATAGACAGACAGACAGACAGACAGACAGACAGACAGACAGACAGATAGATAGATAGATAGATAGATAGATAGATAGATAGATAGATAGATAGATAGATAGATAGATAGATAGAACGATAGATAGATAGAACAATAGAACGATAAATAGATAGATAGAACGATAGATAGATAGATAGAACTAAGACAGATAGATAGATAGATATAGATAGATAGATAGATAGATAGATAGATAGATAGAACCATAGAAGGATAGAACTAAGAAAGATAGATAGAACAATAGATAGATAGAATGATAGAACGAAAGATAGAACGATAGATAGATAGAACGATAGATAGATAGATAGATAGATAGATAGATAGATAGATAGATAGATAGATAGACAGATAGATAGATAGATAGAACCATAGAAGGATAGAATTAAGAAAGATAGAACAATAGATAGAACGATAGATAGAATGATGGATGGATGGATGGATGGATGGATGGATGGATGGATGGATGGATGGATAGATAGATAGATAGATAGATCTAAGTAAATCAAACGCACCTCTAAACCAAACTTGTAGAAGAAGTAGTTGATGAAGTATTTGGCACACTTGATGATGCCGTTGTCGAGGTGTTGCCGGGTGACGTTGTGAAAGATGGTCCGAGAGGGAGGAGGAGAGAGTTTGTTTCTCAGACGGAAAAACTCCTGGTGTCTGTAAATGGTGACTTCAAACGCCAAGATGGCCAACATCAACAAGTTATTCTGAGAAAGGAAGAGAAGAGCGAGATGAATGTAAACAAGCTCTGTACATAAGAAAGTCAACCAGTTCATCAATGAAATGCTTCATCTTCAGAAAATGAAGCTTCTCCACTTCAAATGGTAACATTAAATAATACATGTGCTTTTAGTTTTGTTTTATATTTACTGTAAGAACCTCCTTCTTTATGCATACAGATGTGATGTAATGACGCAAAGAGGAACGACCCAAACCACTCAAAACAGAAAACATTATTACTAGCGTACCGTTGTATAAGACCGTTGACTAAGGTAAGGAGATTTGAACACTGATTGGTTATGTACTTGCTCAATAATTGATTTTGGATCATCTTTAACAAAAAAAAAACAATTATGAAATGCAGCTTTAAATTTATGAAATCCTAGACTGTAATAAAAATTATAATATTGCATAATAAGTCATAATAGGCTGCACATTTAGCATAACACATGAAGTTACACACTCAGTAGAGGCTAATTTGATGACATATGTTATTGATTAACTCATTGAAAACACTGAACGTATCTCCTCACCCTCAGGTTGGGCAGTATATCAACAAACTTCTCCAGGCCGACCCAATTTGCAGGATCCACGGGCTTCCGGTACAGTAGGGAATGATTCATATCCATCTTTTCCTGTTTTGTGTAGTTGGATGGCTTCAGAAACCACAATCACATGATTAAACACAAGAACCAGCGAATCTACTCTTCTGCTACAGCCAAACTAGATATGGCTTGAAATGACAAGCATTTTACATTAAATGAAAATGAATCCCATCTGAACAGCGACAAACTCATTTGATGAGTAAAGAAACCCACCATAGTACAAATACTTGAGTAGTTATTAGGTTCGATGGTCTCTAGCTGATAAAACAACTTGCAGATGATGATGACACATGTCCAGATGGTGCAAACGCTGGAAGCGAGCACTCGAAACTGCTGATACGGCAGCGCAAACGCCCACGAGATCAAAAACACATAGTTCAGCAGCGAAACCTGCAAGACACGAGTGTGAGAATCAGAAACACCCTTCAGATTACTGTACCATAACCTCACGTTTGAGCTTCTACCTCTTTGACAGACAGCAGGATGATGTAAGTGGACACGATCTTGATGATGTGCATCTCCAGGAGCCACCAGATGAAGAGCTTCAGCTTATGGAAGTACTCCAGGAACCTGAGGAACAGGACCGTGAGCCGGTCCACCACCAAATGCCATTTATTCTTGAGGTCTGAGCGAGAAGAGATCAGCTTATTTTCCTCAGTATAAATGTTATGAACAAAAGAGACACAATCTAAGACCAAAAAACTAAACAGACTGAATCTAAGACAAAATACGGATAAAACAAGAGTCGTAAGTGCTTTAGAGTTAAAGGGGTCATATGATGCGATTTCAAGTTTTCCTTTCTCTTGGGAGTGTTACAAGCTGATTGTGCATAGATAAGATCCCTGAAGTTGCAAAGACTAAAGTCTCAAAACCAAAGAGATATTCTTTATCAAAGTGAAGACTCTGCCACGCCCCCCTAAAACGGCTCGTTCTAACACGCCCCCACATATCTACCTCACTATGTGGGAATATTTGCGTAATGCACCCAAATGTGCACGCAAAGAAAGAAGGCGTGGTTTCAGTAACCGCTGTCTTAACCGCGGCTTGTGTACTGCATCATTACTGTGTCTGTTCCCCTTTCGGGCTTGAACTGATGGTAAAACTAATATAAAAAATACACAAAATAATGATCTTTAAAAAAGCATCATATGACCCCTTTACACAGACATAAATAAATGCCATTAAAAAATGAAGATAAACGTGAACTGCAGAAATAGCCAACAGTTTCACACTTCTGAGGATTTTAGTTCAATTTAATGTAATGCCCTCTTGACTGGTTTAAAAATAAAATGGGACCATAGAAAAAAGGGGAAAAAATGCATTGAAATTTGTAGAATACACTAGACTACAGTAGGGGGAAAATCCATAAAAGAACATTTATAACTCTCTCTCTCTCTCTCTCTCTATATATATATATATATACACACACACACTGTATATATGCCTGGTGTTATTCAAATGTATTAAAATCAAAAATAAAATGTCCAAATGGAATAGAAAATTATTATATTCAGTGGTTTATTTTCAGGTATACAGTAATAGTCTCATTTCGGGCTTGAACTGATGGTAAAACTAATATAAAAAATACACAAAATAATGATCTTTAAAAAAGCATCATATGACCCCTTTACACAGACATAAATAAATGCCATTAAAAAATGAAGATAAACGTGAACTGCAGAAATAGCCAACAGTTTCACACTTCTGAGGATTTTAGTTCAATTTAATGTAATGCCCTCTTGACTGGTTTAAAAATAAAATGGGACCATAGAAAAAAGGGGAAAAAATGCATTGAAATTTGTAGAATACACTAGACTACAGTAGGGGGAAAATCCATAAAAGAACATTTATAACTCTCTCTCTCTCTCTCTCTCTCTATATATATATATATATACACACACACACTGTATATATGACTGGTGTTATTCAAATGTATTAAAATCAAAAATAAAATGTCCAAATGGAATAGAAAATGAAATGGTTAAAATGAACAACACTATTATATTCAGTGGTTTATTTTCAGGTATACAGTAATAGTCTCACTCGAAAATGCCTGTAGTACAACTCAACTGCATATAGTTTTCATAAAAAATGTCTCCATGACAGATTTATTCAAACATACGTTTATAATTAACTAAATAAGCTCCCTCTGGACTGGACCGCAGTACCTGAGCTCTGTTCTGAGGGCAGTTCTGGATCTGTGGCGGCACTGAACTGCTGAATGTCCTCCTGACTGGACAGATGAGCTGAACGGATGGACAGAGACTCTTTCTTCTTCTCCTCCTCCACACAGTCCACGACCAGCACCTCGTTCATGGACTCTTTCTCCTTCTCCTCCTTCAGCAGCGGCTCTGGAGAGGTGCTCATCATCGTCAGATCCGCCAGACTCCCGTCAGGATGAGCCAGTCTGGAGATCAGGAAGAGCGCATTAGGAGCTGTCTCACTCATTTACAGTATACATGTGACATATGAGTGATTCTTCAATTAGAGAGATTCTTCATGAAGATCTGATAACAGCCTTCATCAATCTCCTTTCAGTAAGTGGATTTTTATTTTTCACTTTATGACGAAAAAGTTGAATTTGTCCGCTAATACAACACATCTGCTGTACATCTGTTTTGAATTTATAACAAATGCATTGTTTCTTAATTAAAAATGCTCAAATATTATCTAGTTTAATGATGATACCAAATAAAGATTAAATGGGTTTAAAAATTTAAATAGATTTCTGCTCTTCATACTATCACTCTGCTTTTCATTTCCATCCCTAAACAAAAACACTTTTTATAAAAAATTTAATAATAATATGCTTGGCATGACAGTAATGACAGCACTACTTACTAGTGATTATTTAAAAACAAATTATTCTTTTTAAGTGGGAGAACTTGCACAATTGGTGGCTGACTAAATACTTTTTTTCCCCACTGTATATATATATGAAAACACAAACTGTACCAATTTAATTGAATTGAATTGAATTTAACTTAATTTAGAAGTTCTTAAGAAAATATACTAACAATTGTCCTGACAGTGGAATGTAAAGGAAAATAAAGAAATTCTGGCAAATTCAACATTTTGACACTCACAAAAATTAGAGAAAAATAAATAACTACAGTAAAATTAGAATGAAAACTAGAATTATTATTATGCCAACAAAGTGTATATAACAAAGTATTGAGATGAAATTTTGTTATTGACCAAATACTTATTTTCCACCATAATTTGCAAATAAATTCTTTAAAAATCCTACAATGTGATTTTCTGGATTTTTTTTTCTCATTTTGTCTCTCATAGTTGAGGTATACCTATGATGAAAATTACAGGCCTCTCTCATCTTTTTAAGTGGGAGAACTTGCACAATTTGGTGGCTGACTAAATACTTTTTTCCCCACTGTATATATATATGAAAACACAAACTGTACCAATTTAATTTAATTGAATTTAACTTAATTTAGAAGTTCTTAAGAAAATATGCTAACAATTGTCCTGACAGTGGAATGTAAAGGAAAATAAAGAAATTCTGGCAAATTCAACATTTTGACAAAAATAAATAACTACAGTAAAATTAGAATGAAAACTAGAATTATTATTTTTTTTTTTCTTTAAAGCATTTTGTCTTTAAAATCCTTTAAAGTAAGAGAAAAGTTATTGTAATTGATGAACCACCCATACTTTCTCTGAACTTAGATCACATGCTGATCAAGTTAGCTCGGTTTGGGTTATAAAACAGTTATTTGAATGTTAGTGTCTAATAAACCTTGAATCAGGATTCCACAGGCAGGGTTTGGGTGGAAAACATGGATGCCGTGTGCATTAGATCCATAAGGAACAAGCTGGATTGTGTTATTATTTTTTAAAGAAGCAATGCATATGTCTGCCATACATGAATCACGTGACCAAAAAACCAAAACAAATATTTCAGCAGTCAGACTTTAGTGGCAATGGCCTCTTCCGGATGGTCTCGCTGCTATGAAGGGTTTAAACGCTTGCATGATGAGGTTTCATGTCAAAGCTTTACCTTGTTTATACCACACTTACTTGCTCTGAGGAGAAGAGATTTTTTGCTTGATGCTGTTGAAGCAATTTACAGAATGGAAATACACGAAATCAAAGCAATGAAATGTTTCACACAATTGAACATTATTGTAAGATGAGACAGAGAAAGAGGGACAGAGAGATTCTTTGAGGAGGAGAGGACGTGCATTTCAGAGACATGCTGAGGACATTCATTCCCTGTCAGAGACTGAGAGCAGGACTATCGTCAGGATAAACCGCTGACGTCAAGCGGCTCAAGTAAGACTTCCTGGGATGCATTTGAGCAGGCAGAGGTTTAAAGTCAACATGAAATCAAAACCGACCCTATTTAGCATTTCAATACACATCTGTAGCCATAAATGTTTTAAAATATATATATATATATATAAACAATGATCAAAGTAAATAACCCACCCCACCTCTGAACTTTCAGCCAGTGTTGTTATTATTAAATAAAACTGAAATGATTAAATATAGATATTTTTCAGTAATTAAAATTAAATAAAATACAAATATTAGATGAAAAACTTAAACTTAAAAAAAAACGTTGACTAAAATTAAAAAATAATACAGAGATAGAAAATACATTAAAGCTAAATAAAAATATAAAAAATGTTTATTAAAGTTTATTCTTAACTGTTTTAAGACATTTTAAGTAAATATTCAATAATTTTTATTCTTTGCTTTTTTTACTATTTGTATTTCCTGTGCATCTGTTGTGATTATTTTATGATTATTGCAAGTCTTTTTTTTATGTAAAGCACTTTGAAATTAAATTAAATTAAAAAAAAAGAAAAGCTAATTCAAAATATTAATTAATGATATAACAGTATTTAAATAATATTACACTAGCTAGGTTTACGTGCAACCAAATAATCTGTTAGTAATCGGACTGATGGCTCAATCGGAGAAAAAAGCCTTCATGTAAACACTTTAATCAATGCGACTGAGCTCGATCCGAATGAAATTTCGAAGGGGTGGTGTAGACCTTTTTTAATCCGATCAAGAGGACATGTAAACACTAGTTCAGATTGAAAACCAAAACTGGAAAGTACTGCGTACATGCAATGACATAGAAATGGTGCAACGACACATGACGTGTGAAATGAACTGTTGAATTTGTCATGTTATCTAAAAGTCTCCTTCCACTAACTGTCTGTGAAGTGGAGCAGAACAAGGTCCTGTCAGGCCTCGCTTTATACTCTCATCCACAGACGGGGCTTGTTTTGGCTATGGGAATGGGCAATTTCACTGCTTGATAAATAAAAGCAGCATGGCACAAAGATTCACGTGCTTAGCACACGAAATAGATAAATATTAAGTCAGTTCTTTGAAACAAGAAGCATAAGGATAATTGTATGTGCAAACAGTGGGAAACTCTGTATATTGCTGTATATTACTCTGTATACTCGTCAACCCGATCAATTTTTAGTGATCATGTGAACACTACGTTTGGATTCATCAACCGCAATGATTTGATTTTTCATTCAGCTACTGTTACCGACTCCATGCGAGTTAATAGTTCAAATTAAAGGGTTAGTTCACCCAAAAATGAAATTCTGTCATTAATTACTCACCCTCGTGTTGTTCCAAACCCGGTAAGACAAGGTAACTATCTGGAGTAACTAGCAAGGTAACTAACAAGGATCTGGGTCAGCGCCGGCGCTGCTACACGCTCGCGTCATGATATTGTCGTGAACGCGCATCCACAAGTAGAGAGGAAAATGTGGAATAAAGTCGTTATTTTTGCTTTCTTTGTACAAAAAAGTATTCTCATAGCTTCGTAATTTTACAGCTGAACCACTGATATCACACAAACTACTTTGTCGATCATCGTGGTACTTTTCTGGACCTTGAACGTGGTAGTTACCTTGCTGTCTATGGGAGGGTCAGAGAGCCCTCAGATTTCATCAAAAATATCTTAAATTGTGTTCCGAAGATGAACGAAGGTCTTACGGGTTTTGAACAACACGAGAGTGAGTAATTAATGACAGAATTTTCATTTTTGGGTGAACTAACCCTTAAACGAACAGCCAAACATCTTTCTAGTTATTATTTTAGGCTGCTGTTGAAGGTAAAGTAGCCTTTCTAAAATCTTACCAACAGTTAACGCAGTCTTTTAGTGCCCGTTAAATGTAATAGAAACACAGCAATACTGTAACAGCAAAGAATGCTAAGTTTTGACGTGCTGGTCATCATCTGATGATCCAATCAGTTAACGACGAATAAAACAAACCTTTAATAAAAGGATTTTTTAATCCTCTTTGAATGTTACATGGAAATTAAATGGTTTTGAATGCGGTTTCATGTTGACTTTGAGAAACGTTGAAGTTCTAGACAGGAAAATTCAGTGACAGAGACATCATAATTTTTTTGATCTATCCAGGAATCTAGCGAACCGTTTAAAAAAAAAAAAAAAAGAGATATCATTAAGAGAGAAAAGAGTGTACTGGCGAACGGGAGTAGTGAGGGATTGTGGGAATTCAGGGAAAAGGTGAACATTGGTTGTTATTTCCATGGATGCCAGAGAAAGACAAGCAGTCACCCACCTATCCACGATCAGATAGATACGACCACTGACTTTAGTATAGCTGTGAGGGGAGGGACGGCAGGGAAAAGACGGGAGCACATGATTGGTTAAAATCAGAAATGGATTTGCATAAATAAGACTGAGGACTGGCAGCATTTAACAGATAAAACAAGGATGACACTGCTGCAGATTCAATAGAGAGAAAACGGTCATGAATGAAGAGAAATGAAGAAATGAGGAAACAAGGCATCAGGATGAAACAACGTCAAGTTAAGTTCAACAAGAATGAAACTACTAAAGTAAGATATTGCTCAAATTAATCATTAAAGCAATGTAACATAAGAGTTATCGTTCAACACACAATTATCATAATTATTATATAAAATATTATGTTTTAATAATAATAATTCTATGCATGAATAATAATGACTAATAATAATTGTTATTATTATTATTATCATAATAATAATATGTTTTAATGATAATTCTGAGCAATAATTCTGAGCTAATTATTGCATATTATTATTCATTACAACAACAACAACAACAAAAATAATAATAACAATTCTAATCAATCACAATCACATAATAATCATTATGATGATAATTGTTTATTATTATTATTATTTCACTAAGAAAATAGCTGATTTGACGTGGTTACAGGTATGCATTTGTGTTAAGACTCGTTTATGACACATGACATCTCCACTCTTCCTGTTAGCATCAGCTGTGACTGGCGGGAAAGCATCTCTCACCTGTAAATGGTGCTCTGCTCTTTGCTGATGACGGCTTTGAGATCGGTGAGCTGCAGGAAGTGGTCGTGGAAGTAATGCAGGTGCAGGATGCAGACCAGCAGGAAGGACGTGGGGATGAAGATACGGGTGAACAGATCAGAGAGGACGTACCTCTCCAGACCGATGTCCTTCAGTCTGAGAGACAAAGAGAGAACCATTACTGCATTATTCGGACTTAAAACACTTTCATTTTGGCCAGAATCTAATACTTAGTCATATACACATTTGAATGGACCACAAGGCAGCTGACTAGGGTCTGCATGGTATGGTTTGTGGTAAGTTCAACTGATCAAACTAGTGCTGTCAAATGATTAATTGCGATTAATCGCATCCAAAATAAAAGTTTTTGTTTACATAATATATGTGTGTGTACTGTGTACTGAAATTTATCATGTATATATAAAGTCACACACATACAGCATGTATTTTGAAAATATTTACATGTATTTACATGTATATATTTATATTCATATTAATTATATCATATATAAATATATGAAATATATAAACATAACATTTTTCTTAAATGTATACATGCATGTGTGTGTATTTATATATCACAGTACACACACATATAAGCTGACTAGGGTCTGCATGGTATGGTTTGTGGTAAGTTCAACTGATCAAACTAGTGCTGTCAAATGATTAATTGCGATTAATCGCATCCAAAATAAAAGGTTTTGTTTACATAATATATGTGTGTGTACTGTGTACTGAAATTTATCATGTATATATAAAGTCACACACATACACGTATTTTGAAAATATTTACATGTATATATTTATATTCATATTAATTATATCATATATAAATATATGAAATATATAAACATAACATTTTTCTTAAATGTATACATGCATGTGTGTGTATTTATATATCACAGTACACACACATATATTATGTAATCAAAAACGTTTATTTTGGATGCGATTAATCGCGATTAATCGTTTGACAGCACTAGATCAAACACATCTAAGGATGTTCGAAACTCACACGTCTTCTGATATGCCCGTCATTCTGGTCCAGGTAGCGATGGCGTTCTCAAACTGACAGGTGTAGATTAGGATGAGCACTAGCATGGTGTAAACCACCACAGACATCCAGAAGTACTTCAGGATCCTGCGCCACCACTCATAATGCACCTGAGGAGAAAAAACGCTCTGTCTAATACCTTTAAAAGAAAAGTTCATCCAAAAATTTAAGTTCTGTCATAATTTATATTTCTAAATAAATATTTATCTATTTTATCATAACATTTTTGGGTATATATCTCATATATATTATTTGTCATACATATATATTTATTTATATACATTATATTTAAACAAATATGTACAATTAAACAGGCATCTTTTTATGCAAAAATACAATAAAATAATAATTATCAATTATATTTACATAAATTCTATTTATAAAATTAGAATTAAAAATAAATTATATATATATATATATTACATTTATAAAAATATATATAAAATGTAATATAAAATAGGCTTAATTTGATGCAAAAATACAATAAATTATATACATTTTAAAATGATATATATATATAGGCTTAATTTTATGCAAAAATTACATGCATATTTCTGGGTGAACTACAGTATATGTATAAAATTAAGCTTATTTTACAATAAAACATAATAAAATACATTTTATTGTAAATTCTAGAAATACATATCGTTTTTTTATTTTGCATAAAATATATATTTTATTTTTTGAAGTGAAGTAAGTCAACATCCTAACAAGCTTTCTAGGCTTTCTGTGATTAGACAGCACTGCAGCACCTGGTAAAGAGCCACGCAGGACAGAAACATCATCATGTAGATGATCTTGTACATGACCATCTTTCCTTCGAAGCTGACGAAGAAGAACATTCCTCCGCAAACATAGATCCAGTATTTCACCAGCAGAGCCATCACTAGTTTCCCAATCACATGCATCAGGTCGTTCTCGTCCCCCTCCTCTTCCTCTTTGTCTTTGTCTTCCTCTGCAACCCACATGGAAAGTTATTTCTTTATGAATATATAACAACGAAGAGAGATTTTCTGCAGTGACTATTAAAGGGTTTCATCTGTATGTTACATATAGGACCCCACCTTTTTTCTGCTCATCTATTTGGACGTCACAAAGAGCTGCTTCCTCTTCCATCTTCTCTTGTCTCTCCATCAAAGTTTGTCTGAGCAGAAGCCAGAAACTCAGCTGACACAGAACCTACAAACAGTCACAATGCCAAAAACACATTAGCAAAATGCTCTGTAGAAACCCAATTTTTGGGTTTAAAAAAAAAACTGATTAAGGTTCATCTGAATGGACTGAAATTTATAAACAAAGCACAGTATACCAACGTTTTACATCATAAGTGTTTTTATACATTTCTTCATGGGGTTGCATTATAGTTATATATTATAGTTATATAGCCTAGTTATATAGTATAAAAAACCTACTAAATTATCTGTAGAATATGCTTCAAGTCAAACACCTGTTGTGTTTTGTTAGGAGACGCTCAGCAGTTCTTCTGTTGCTTTATAGGTAATATTTTCATTTACTGTACACAATTTTGCAAAATCAGACAATATTGCATCTAATATATACCACAATATTAACTTCTTATTATTGAATTATTGTAAACAAATATCACATTTGCAACTGGTTAGTGTTTAAAGAATGCTGGGAAATCCCTTCACGTAACCCTACAAGAGTGATTATTTATAAGTCATGTTTTAGAGAAGAAAAAAAAAATCACCCACAGACAAGCTGCTACTTTGTAACGGCTTTCTACTTCGAGGACCTTGATAGAAATGTAGTGGAGTGAAAAGTGCGATATATTTGTCTTTCAAATGTAGTGAAGTTAAAGTCATAAGTTTGCAGAAAAATAATACTCAAGTAAAGTACAGATGCTCAAAAAAAGTTTAAGTACAGTAATCAAGTAAATGTACTTCATTACGGTCCACCTCTATATATATATATATTTTTTTTTAAGTAATAAAATAATAATAATAAAAAGTAGTAATATAATAAAAAAGTGTTTCTGTGATCAAAGCTGAATTTTTAGCATCATTACGCCAGTCCTCAGTGTCACATGATCCTTCAGAAATCATTCTAATATACTGATGTGCTGCTCAAGAAACATTTCTGATTTATTATTACTGTTGAAAACAGTTGTGCTGCATCATATTTTTTTGTACCATTCAAAAGTTTGGGGTAATAAGATTTCAAAAAGAAAAAGAAAATAGACCACCTTTATTCAGCAAGAACAGATCGAAATTGATCAAATTAACAGAAAAGACATTTATAATGTTATAAAAGATTTCTTTTTCAAAACCTTTACTATTGATAATAATAATAATTGAGCAACAATCCTATTTGATGATTGAGCACCTTTTTTATTAGAATTAAAAAAAGAGTTTTTTTTAAATGGCACTAAAAGCAAAAGTGCATTATTTGTATTTCTTATTTACACTAAAACAAAATATACTAGTGCAATTTTATATACATATTAAATACAAATATACATATTTTAAAGATATATACAGCAGAAACTGTACCTATTGATGAGGCCTGATTAAAGTGAAAATAAATAATCTTGTATAATTGTTACCTTGGTGCTCAGTTCAGTGAAGGGCACCTTCATCTTCAGAAAGAAACCCGGCACTGGATCCAAGCGCTCAAAACACCAGATATACTGAAGGACCAACAGGAGGTTCCCATAGGCCACCATGAATGGCGAGGTCATCATGGCGTATTTCCTCCGGTCACGTACCATCCACAGAGTACAGGACCACAGCAGAAAGACAAACGTCAGCCAGCTAACGTACGTTATACTCCACGCCTTAGAGATGAAGAAAGATCGATGATGAGATGCCATGGTTCATAGTTTTATGTTTCCTGTTGAATCTTTTCCTACTCAAAATCTAATGTAGAACTTCAAAAGAATAGTTAAAAATATAAATCTGCTGTTAATTTACTTACCCTCAGGCCATCCAAGATGTAGTTGACTTTTTTCTTGCATCGAAGGGTAAAGAAGTTTTTAGCTGAAAACGTTACTTGGTAATTCATAAAATGGAATTCAGTGGCTACCATTAAAACGAAAATACATATCAAAGAACACAAAATGAATACCGTGGCTCCTGACGATATACTGAGGTCTTATGAAGTGAAACGATTGCTCTGTGCAAGAAACTTAACATTATTTACAACATTATTACATGCATAATCCAGAGCCTCAGGCAAACGGGGAAATTTAATTATTTTCCGCGAACTGGTTCTTTTGGACAGTCCACGTTCACACAGCAGCTTAATAAGTCCTAATAAGGTTACGTTCACACACAGTACTGTTATTTACGGGTGTGATAACTGCATTCTGTAACCGAACTCACACCCATACATTTTCAGGACTCACAACCGCATTCTCTTAACACACGTGCTGTGTGAACAGAACAGGACTGGACAACTACGAGAGATAGCCAATAGAACGCGTGTCTATCGTGAGTTACGAGTTTTCATGTGTGATTTCGGTAACTTACAGTGACGGAGAGCTGAATTTTCAGCATCATTACTCCAGTCTTCAGTGTCACATGATCCTTCAGAAATCATCCTAATATGCTGATTTGCTGCTCGAAAACCATTTATTATTATCATTATGTTGAACAAAGCTGAGTAGAATTTTCTCAGGTTACTTTGATGGATAGAAAGTTCAGAAAAACAGCATTTATCTGAAATAGAAATCTTTTGTAACCTTATAAATGTCTTTATCATTACTTTTGATCATTTCAAATCATCCTTGCTAAATAAACGTATTAATTTCCTTGATTTCAAACTTTTTCCTCAGTTCAGTGCCTGTTGGAGGAACTGAAGCACTGAATGACTTAATTTATCATAGGATCAGATACTGTATGCTGGCATACTGGCTCATTTCCAGTCAGAGTGACTGTCTGGCATCTGAAAGTGAGTTTTGATTTGATCAACTTGTAGATCTGTGCTGCTTGAGCCGTTTTAGAAGTTCAGTCCAATTTGGTGAACTGGTTCAACTACTTCACAAAAAAGAACCGGTTCAAAAGAAGAAGATTCGTTCACAAACTGGACATCACTCGGACCATCTGCCTGAGGCTCTGGATTACAGGTAATAATGTTGTAAATAATATTCAGTTTCATGCACAGACTGACCGTTTCGTTTTATAAGACCTCAATGTAGGGCTGCACGATAAATAGAAATGAAATCGAGATCGCGATTCGACAGAAGCTGCGATTGTCATGCGTATCTTTCAGTGAAGCACGGTTCTGTGATCAGCAGTAAATCTCCATCCGAAGGCCAGAGGGCGCTCTCGCGCTGAAACTCCAAATACGCCCCGCAGAAGAAACCCAGAAAATGCCTATCGCTGCAGCTGAATAAACAGAAGATTCAACTGCTTTCATTGATTCAACGTGACTAATAAACACACGACTACGGCAATATACGGTTTATCTGAGTTCTTATTATTATAATTTTCATTAAAATAAAGTATATTTATAATGCAATGCCTTTATCACTGCTTAAATACTATGAAATATGTTGTGTGCCTTATTCTGTGTAAGAAGCCACATCATCTCACAGAAGGATTTATTTCAAACACTCGACTGACTTTATGAAGTGAGTTTGGAGTAAAAATATGTTATTAAATGTGGTATTTTCGCATGCTTTCAGATGGAGCAGCATTTACTTCAGAGCCGTAGTTCACTGAGAAGCTATGCAAACAGCTGTCATTATCGTGAACGATTTCTTTCGATTTCAGGATCGCGCAATAAAATCGTCTGCGATTTTTTTGCGTAACTTGTCAGTGAACTACGGCTCTGTGTAGTAAATGCTGTTCCATCTGAAAGCACGTGATGATGATTTCCTGCTGATTACAGAACCGGCTTTTTTAACAAAATGCACATGACAATCGCATTCGATTAATCGTGCAGCCCTACCTCAATGCATTTTTTTTTCTCAAAAAACGGTAGCTGCTGACTTACATTTTAGGAATCACCAAGGACCACGTTTTCTGCTAAACATCATCTTTTACTCCTCTACTGAAGAAAAAAAACATCACCTACATCTTGGATGGCCTGAGGGTGAGTAAATTAAAAGCAAATGTTCATTTTTGGGTGAACTATCCCTTTAAGCTTTGACCTTCTCACCATCATAGCAATAAGAGCACAGATGTAGCTCTGCTTCATGACAAACTTGAACACTTTCACGAGAGCGCTTGGTGGTCCGCCCTGTTCTTCCTCTTCTTCTTCCTCTTCCTCTTCCACATCTGTCTTCTCCTCTTCCTCCTCCAGCTGTGAGTCCAAGATCTCATTCGTGTTTTCATCCGTCTTCTCTGTGTGGAGCATTAAAATAATAGTAATTTCCATTTGTTCACTTAAGAAAAATCTCAGTGAATGATCAGATATTAGTTAACTAGGAACTAGTTTCAGCCACAGACAGCGGTGAGATTCTAATCAGTTAGTCATGTTTAGAAAGAACCAGGTTATAGTGCAATGAGCGCTTTTGAGGAAGAACTTGTCACTGGATTTGCCCCAGTTTTTGACCATTTTTTTGTGTTTTTTTTGACCAGCCTTGGTATCAAATAAACTAGATATGGAAGAACAGAACAGTTTATTGCACTTTGTTTTTAAACTGGCTTTTATTATCTACTTCTCATCTAAATGTTATTAAACATTTCGATAGAAGCACCGATAGAACCTCTTATTTTAGTATGATTGAGATACTATTATACCTTTTATTAACAGTTTGAATTAGTTTTCATTTCAGTTATCATTTTAATTTTTGTTAAAGTATTAGTAATTTTGTCGTGCATTTCTGATATTTTTATATTTCTGCCATTTTTTTATTAATTTACACTTCTGTTTTAATATTTTTATTTAGTTAACGTTTATGTGAAGTAACAAAAATCACAACATTTCATTTTTATGATAACCCTGGGTAGAATATACAGTTAGAAGTTGAATTGTTTTATTAGGTATTTCAGTTCAAAGATATCTATGGATGTGTGTTTATGGTATCTCACCTTCAAATTCGACAGGCTGATCCACTTTGTACTGAGGAGTTGAGTAAATGTCCAGACTGACCGGTCCATTCTCAATGGGCACAGCGGAGACGTAATCAAACGACGTCCCATTTGAGTTGACCACCGCAATCTTTATAGCAACACACAAAAAAAAAGACATAAGGGACAGGTCATATAATGTGCACAGAAAATAACTAATATCTGTCTAAAAGCAATTAATATACAGCATACAAGATTATAATTGTTTTTGCAGCCAGTTTTAACCATAGACTGTAAAAAAGTGTGTTAACACACACATGTAGTGTCACCAGTGTTGGGGAAAGTTACTTTTAAAAGTAATGCGTTACAATATTGCGTTACTCCCTAAAAAAAGTAACTAATTACGTTACTTAGTTACTTTTTATGGAAAGTAATGCGTTACATTACTTTTGCATTACTTTTGCGTTACTTTTTAGTATATAGTATAGTATTATATTTGTTTTTAATATAAGAAGTTCTATTTATAGCAAATATAAAAGCCCTTTCACACCAAAAAGTGTAATGAATAAACCTCAGGCTGAAGCAAAAGTAAATTCACGTCTGTACAGTAGAACGCAGGAGAAGAAACACTCTTCAGCAATAAAAAAGCTATGACTCACAATTGTTAGTTTCTCTAAAGTCATTTTTGCTTATTAGTATGGTTGAACTGGATCAGCAAAGGTCAGCAGCAAAGACATCGGTTAATAAAATGGGATTAGATACATTTGTGTTATTTAACATTTTTAATTATTGCAGGTTTGCGTCATATTCTGAGTTTGCATTTCACTGTTTTAATTCATTTTGATGAATACTAAATCTGTTTTTGTGAGTGGGATGAATTAATGCACATTCACATTTAGTCTAGAACTACAGTAACATCATGTTCACACAGCGCACACAACGCCTCTGTACTCCCGATTTCTCCCAATATGGGGACAGGAGAGCTGTCAGTCAATAAATGGGAAAACAAAGTAACTGGCATTACTTTTTTGAAAAAGTAACTCAGATATTTTCTTGTAAATTAAAAAAGTAATGTGTTACTTTACTAGTTACTTGAAAAAAGTAATCTGATTACGTAACTCGCATTACTTGTAATGAGTTACCCCAAACACTGAGTGTCACAGTTGAAGTGTGTAAAAATCTTTGCTTGTCAAAATGAGTGAATCTCTCAAAACCAACAATAAAATGTAAAAAAATTTTTTTTTGAGTTGTGACGTTTTCATCAACCACATCTTTTCGCTACAAATTCTCCTTACAGAACGTAAAAATAAATAAATAAATAAAAGATACAATATATTTTTATTACAATAATAAATTAATATGCAATTAATATCAATGTAATGCTATTATTTTTAACAATTGCTATTTAAAAAAAAAGTATAATTTTAATCTAATGAGATTTATGGGATTAATGGGAAATATGAAAAAAGATATATTTTAATTATTACATATTTTAAATAATATATAATTATAGATATAAATTGCATTGTATATTGCAATATACTTAATTTTAATAACAATATATATTATTTATTTAAAAAGAGGAAAATTTAATTGAATGAGATTTACAAAACAACTAGTCATGAAAATTTGGAGGGGTGGGGAGGCTTCTTTTTCTTTTCATTTAACGGTTTAGGAGATTCACCCAGAGAGATCGCGTTTCACCCCAAAGCCACTGAATCATGCCACATCAAGAGCAGCGTACACACAGACACAAGCTGCTAAAAGCTCAAATCAATCACACTATATTTGTCCACAGTTCAAATTTACAGATACAGAGTTACATAAGACTTGGCAAAACCACAGTGATAGCAAACCTCCGAGGTGCTGTACCCGTCCTGAGTGGAAATGAGCTAAAGAGAGAGAGAAAGAAAGAAAGACAGCAGACGGGGCAAGGTGAATGTATTGATGAGCACAGGAGGTCGATAACATTATGCTGTTCTCTAACATCAGTACTGAGCAGAGCAAAGTACAGCGGCACTATTCACAGATAGAGACCAGCACTCAGACCGACGCGAGCTGAAAAACCTTTAATACTGATGCTAAAGTTTAAGATAACATGGACACTCTTGATGCTGTTTTTAAGACAAGCCGCTACAGCCAAAAAAAAAATATATATATATAATTATGCACTAATCAATTTTGTGATATTTGGCTTTTCATACCGTGTTGTTACAGACTAGTGGAATGAAAATACCCACAATACACTTTTAAGTGTTTATATTATTGCACTTTATCTATTTGCGTTTGTTGATTTTAATTTCAATACATATCTTTAACCCTTGTGCGATCTTATGGACATTTGTGTCCTTTTCTGTTTTTTTTTTTTATCATTTTGCCTGTGTTAATGCCAACTGCATAAATTTTGGCACAGGCGTGTATTTTTATTGGAATTTTAATATTTCACCCTCCTTTAATAAATCTATTTTACAATAGGTACAAAAATTAGTTCCTCTCAGGACTTTAAGGACAAAAATGTCCTCATTGAAACCCATTAAATCTGCAATTTGTATTCCCAGGTCCATTTAACTATAAAATGATGCAGTCTTTGTTAATAAGCTTTCATTGTGTTGTCAAAATGATACTTTTTTTTTATTTTACTAGATGGTGCCATTTTTTCAGATTTGGCCTATAAAGCAAATACTCACAATTTTCATGTTTTCTGCTTTTGCTGTATTATAGAGCCAGTTGGATAAATTATGCAGCTATAATTGTGTGGGTGTGTTGGTATGGATGTCAGAGTGTCGTTTGTATGTGTGTCCTAAAAAAAAGTGTGTGTGTTTGTGTGTGCGCACCTGTAATGTTTGAGAGAGAGAAATTATACTGTACTGCGAATCACAAATCCCACCGCTTTGTATGCCAGCGGAGCTTTGCTGGAATCTAATGGGAAACGTTTGGTTCTTACGGTGGCCGAGAAGTGCAAAGCAAATCACAATTCTGAAAACAAAATAACAAATTACAAACGCAAATGCAAGTCTAAAAAACAAAATAACAATTCAGAAAGCACAACAACAATTCAGAAAACATTATAACAAGTCAGAAAACACAACGACAATTCAGACAAACCGGAAGAGGTAGGTATAGTTTGAGACAGCGCCACTGGTTTGGGATTACTCACCGCTGACTGGACGAGTCATCTGTCAATCAAACAATACGGAGTATATATTTACATATAGTTAAAAGTGGCTGTAAAATATCAGCTCCAGTGGCGCAGATGAATATATGCTAGTCAATGACATTTTGACGCAATCGACCCAGATTCGATCCCAACTTTTGCCGAACTTTTTTTTTCTCCCTTTTCAAATCTCGTATCACATCGTAAAGGCATTTATTTAAAAAAATAAATTAAGGAAATGATCAAAAAGTTGAAAATAAAGTATCGGGTAGGGTTAGGGTAGGGGTAGGGAGGGCTTTATTGTACCAATAAGGTGGTATCCATTTAATAATTCAAATTATAATTTACACTCAATATGTTATTATTGAATACTGTTTTATAATGTACTTCAATACTGAAGTGCAGATAATTGCCACTATTTGCAACAAGTAGTATACTTGATAGTAGAAATCCTGCTATTTTAACAGTGTAAATAGGTATTTGCACTTAGTGTAAATAGCATATTGCTAAAAATCCTGCTATTTTCACTTAGTGTAAATAGAATCCATTGCTAATACGAGATTTGAAAAGGGAGAAAAAAAAAGTTTGGCAAAAGGTGGGATCGAACCCGGGTCGATTGCGTCAAAATGTCATTGACTAGCGCATATCCATCTGCACCACTGGAGCTGATGTTTTACAGCCACTTTTATCTAAATGTAAATATACACCCCGTATTTTTTATTCCATAGTAAGGGCAATTCATACAATACATTTAAACTGAGCTACTTTAATACCATCTCCGAACTTTCTACCACGACTCGTCCAGTCAGCGGTGAGTAATCCCAAACCAATGGCGCGGTCTCAAACTATACCTACCTTTTCCGGTTTGTCTGATTTGTCGTTGTGTTTTCTGACTTGTTAATTTGTTTTCGGATTTGTCGTTGTGTTTTCTGACATGTTATTTTGTTTTCAAATTTGTCATTGTGTTTTCTGACTTGTTGTAATATTTTTTTAATTGTTGTTGTGCTTTCTGAATTGTTATTTTGTTTTTAGACTTGCATTTGCGTTTGTAATTTGTTATTTTGTTTTCAGAATTGTGATTTGCTTTGCACTTTACGGCCACCGTAGGTTCTACACCCAAACAAAATCTTACTAAAAGCTCATATTTTGAGTTATCAACCTCAAATTTGGAACACAACTTGTTTAGATTTATGGCTTTGATTTTCTAGCCATTTTTGTGTTCAACATGTTTTATAAAATATATATTTTATATAAAAAATTGCTCATAAATCATTTTCATAAGCTTAAAGTTGTAATTGTTTTTACCAATAATCCGTCAAGGGTCTTCTTTAAAATGAGACCAAGCTTAAGTCTGTACTCCCAAGCTTCAAATGTTTATGACCGTTTTTGGACATGGACATCTTTGCCCTCTATGAACCTATGTGTAACTTTTTTAATTGACACACAAGGGTTAAAGGCCATGTTTTCTCAAAATGAGTTTTATCTCCACTTCAGCAACACTTACATGCACTAAAATGTACAGTTATATTCCTATCTATATTCTAAATATTTTTATTGATGGGTTTGTTCATATATCATTCGTACTGATTTATATAGCATTTTATTCTTAAAAACATGGTTGAAAATGTGTATATTTAAAGGCTCTAAATTTTTTTCTCCACTTCAGCAGCACTTGCATACTCCAAACTTAACAGTTTTATTCCTCTCTATATTCTGAATATTTTTACTGAGGGGTTTGTTAATATATCATTTATATAACATTTTATTTCTAAAAGCATGGTGAAAATGCATATGTTTAAAGGCTGTGAGTTTTTATCTCCATTTCAGCTGCACCTACATACAGCAAACTTAACAGTTTTATTCCTATTGATATTCTGAAGGTTTTTACTGAGGGATTTGTTCATATATCATTCACATTGATTTATATAACATTTTATTCCTAAAAACATGTTGAATTAGTTTTTTTTCTGGCTGTTGACCATATGTTTTGATTTATGGAATGATAAAAAGAGATATCCAAAATCACTTCTATAAAAACATTTAACTCTAATACGTCAACAAAATGAAACAAGAATTTTGAATCTGGCTTTATCCAATGTTCAGATTTATTTTCTAGAAACATGTATTTTTATCACTCAATAAATCCAAAAATGCTGTCAACAGCCAGAAAAAAACATTTTCAGCATGTTTTAGAATAAAACATTATATAAATCAGTGCGAACGATATATAAACAAATTCCTCAAAATATAGATAGGAATACAACTGTAAATTTTAGTGCATGTAAGTGCTGCTTAAGTGGAGATAAAACTTCAATAAAAATGGCCTTTGAAAATATGTATCGTAATTCAAATCTAGACACAAATAGATATAAAGTGCAATAAAATAAACACTTAAAAGTGTATTTTGGATGTTTTTGTTTCACTAGGCTATGGCCATGTTAAATTCGGACTTATATTGCGACCTCTAAAATTAAATATTTGAATTAAGATAGAGTTAACCTTGTGAGACATTTCCTTAATTTAAGCTTTAAAAATGCTCTTTGTTTCCTCACATTTCTTTCCTCAGTTTTCTGATGTGCTTTCCACCAAAGCAGCCGCTTCCCGATCGACGTGTGAACGAAGCTGTTTCCCGTGGCCTCATTTCCCTCGTTTATCTCCTCTTTCTCACTCTCCTGCTGGAGAAAGATCAATAAACACAGAAACATATTCAGTGAGCAGCATGAATGGAATTAAAACATGTATCATGGAGCAGCTTACGAATGAAAACGCAGAAGATGATAAACACACTTAATGGAGTCACGAGATGAAAACAACAACACTGAACTAATCATTTCATCGGATGAAAGCATAACGGCGTTTATGATTCATCATCGATCTCTCTGTGAAGTCACGCAACCAGTTATTCTCATCACTTAGATTTACGGCGACAAGAAAATCATGAAATCATGCTGTGATCAAACCTAGAGGCATGTGAATCAATAAGCTCATGCATGTGAGGTTTTGAAGGAGCGAGTGTATTGACCACTCTATAAAGTCACGACAGCATGTGGACAGATGAGAAAAAGGTGACAGAGATCAAACCAACATTGTACTTTATGTACCTATCATACACATCTTCATATCAGTGTTATTTTGGTACGATTCAAATACTATTATATAGCCATGATTTTTTTGTTAATATTTTTGAATTACATTTTATTTTGATATTTTGTTTTCACTTAAATTTTTTGTATAAGTTTCTGAGTTTTTCTTGTGTGTTATTGTCATTATTTATTCGTTTTTTTATAAGGTTTTTTTTTTCATTTTTCATTTTATTATTTTATTTATATAAAGGTAACATTTATTTTATTTAAATTAACAAAAATGATTTTAGATTTCCAAAATTTCAATGTTTCCAAATGTTTTCTTGAAACGAATTGTTAATTGATCAATAAATCAATATACAGGTTTGTCTCTCTGTCCTCAATATTTTGTTTGCCTTTTTTAAAATCTCTTAATATGTTCAAATCAATTTCTTTGTATTAAAGTGCATGAAGAATGCATTAAATTGAGCTTGACATCAAAGATACAAAAAAGATTTTGTGTAAAACACAATAACATACTTTATTTCTTTTCAAAATAAATTTATGTTTAAACCATTTTTTTCGTCACTGGAATTTTTATGCTTAAAAACATAAAAAGCCTCTATGCCAATGACAAAAATAATTTAAAGTATAATATTTAAAGGATATTTGGATATGTTTAACTAAAAAATATCATTAAAAATGTGTACATTCAAATAATAAATACACTTTAAAATATTAGTACTTTCTTCACTTCGTGACATTAGGCTCACCATGATCATGGGATCTTGCAGCCACAGACGGATCAAGGTGGCCAGTGTGTAGTACAGGACCAAGAGCATGATGGGATTGACAAAATGGTGCCAGTTCAGACCACTGTTGACAGCAAGCTTCCAGGTTGAGGAACAGTCGGTTCGAACGATGGAGGAGATGCCAAACAAACTGTGGAGAAAAAGTAAACCGGGTCATTTTGCTTTAATGATATCATTTTTATCCTGCTTCTTACTCTAGCTGTGACTGGGACAGAAATGATCACATGACCACAGCCCATGTTGAGGGAAAAACAGGAAGTGATGCGGAAAGCACTGGCTGTCAACACTGCTACTCAACAGTCATGCAGATCAAGGCGACGAGTCTTTCATCAACTACAATTAGGCCACAGACTTTTCCAACCAGATCACCATTAACTACACAACAACGGCTGTTCCTACTGTTCACGCCAAAACTGCTTTCACAAAGAAAAACTGATAACGACCAGCACAAAAGAGTGGGTTTATGGTCTACTTCTATCTATGAATTCAAGAGAAGGAAGTAAACAAATTGATACAATGTAAAAAAACAAAAAACATTATCAGTATTTAAATATTTTTGTATCAGGATAAGACACATTAAATCAAGAATGTATGAATGAATGAATGAATGATGCATTTATTTGGGAAAGAAAAAGACTTAAGAACCAAATTAAGTGAGTTTTAGCTTAAAAAAAGAAAAAATATCTGCCAGTGGGGTCAGAAAAATCTACTTAATTTAAAGGGAAAACAAGATTATTTTTCTTACCCCATTGTCAGATATTTTTTCTTATTTCAGACAAGTCCATTAATTTTGATAAACCTATAAAAAAAAAGCCTTAATATCTTTTAATATCTGCTTCTCAAATTTAAAAATGTAGATAACTGTACTGGAAAACAAGACAAAGATACTGAGGAAGAACAGCACTTTTTGCAGTGTATATGTAAGTGTTAACAGGGTGTTTGCGTTTAATGAGTTTATCTGACCACAATGCACTTCTAACTTGAGTTTCAGTCGACTTAATTAACCTTGAGATCACAACCGCAAACACAATGAAATGCAAACCTTAAAAGCAGCTTTAAACATTGAATTGATTTGAAATCACCAAGAGAAATACATTAGAAACACACCAGACCTTCTCTCTGCTGTAAAAAAGTCAGTAAATTATGATTAATAATGATGTAATATAATAAGTAGTGCTGTCAAATGATTAATCACATCCAAAATAAAAGTTTTTGTTTACATAATATATGTGTGTACTTTTACTTGTACTATTATGTATATATAAATACACACACATGCATGTATATATTTAAGAAACATATGTGATGTTTATATATTAAATCTATTTATATATTATATAATTTATATGAATATAAATATATACATGTAAATACATGTAAATATTTTCAAAATATATGCTGTATGTGTGTGTCTTTATATATATATATATATATATATATATATATATATATATGTATAATAAACATACACAGTACACACACATATATTATGTAAACAGAAACGTCTATTTTGGATGCGATTGATCGCGATTAAGGGTTTGACAGCACTAATAATAAGTAAATAATGATTTTTGGGCGAATTATTCCTCTCATATTAATAAAACCATCTTGAGTGTGTATACTAAAAAAAAAAGAGTGTAGAAAACTTTTCACTCAGGAATTACAAGTAAATTATACAAAGAAACAACAAGTAACACAATTAAACATGAAATATGGAAAGACTGAAATAGTATTTTCTTCTAAAATAAACTCCAATAATCTGTTATGACTTTTCAAAGGACCTGAAGATAAAACAGCATAACATTTACAGACAAAAGAACAGGCCACAATAAATTTCAAACAAGGCTGCTCTACTAAACATAGACCTAATGGCCTCTCACAGCCGAAGCAAATGCAGTCGGTGGAATCGATGCCCATGAAGAGCATCAAGGGCATGAGAGACGGAGCAGGAACAGGTGCCGAATCAGTCCATCAGCACTTGCAGATCATACACAGCCCAAGCCTGAGCAGATCTGAGAATACGGAAAATATGGAAATATGAGGTGAAGGACAACTAGTGCTGAAATACACAGCACCGGTCTGTTTGTTGTAGCCATTCAAGGCATCACAGGCTTGAGCCCAACGCAAAAAAAAAAACTACTCTAAAAGGCAGCATAATTATACAGCATGGCCAAATTAGCCAGGATAGCATCTAATGCATTGTGACGGGTTTAGTGAAAATGTATATATACATTTTAGGCTTTTCCATTGTTAATTCAAATTTGAAAAAGCAAGAGATTTTCACTTTTAACTCAATTTTTATCATACTTAATCTACATTTTAATAAAAAGTTACTATTTTACCCAATATTTGTTTGTGCTATGAATTGCTATGCTTATTAGGCAATGGCATGGTATGTTTAGCAATATCTGAGCTACAATTATTAACAAAATAACATGGCATTACCTTAATGGTAGAGTTGTAACGGTATGAGTATTTTACGATCTCAGAACCATCGCAGAAAAGATCAAAATTTCATGGTACACAATATCACACAACATGATTTGAAATGTATTAGTTTGTAAATATTTCAGGTACATGTAATTTTTTCTCAAGGAAAAAGCATCTCAGTGGAAAAAAATGGGGGGAAAATTGACTAATACTTTAAAGGGGTCATATGATGCGATTTCAAGTTTTCCTTTCTCTTTGGAGTGTTACAAGCTGATTGTGCATAGATAAGATCCCTGAAGTTGCAAAGACTAAAGTCTCAAAACCAAAGAGATATTCTTTATCAAAGTTAAGACTCTGCCACGCCCCCCTAAAACGGCTCGTTCTAACACGCCCCCACATATCTACCTCACTATGTGGAAATATTAGCATAATGCCGCCCAAATGTTCACGCAAAGAAAGAAGGCGTGGTTTCAGTAACCGCAGTGTTGAAGCAGCATGTCAGGGAGACGCTGTGTGTTTCAGTGCGAAAGCAAAAGCACTTTATTTGGCCTTCCGAAAGTAGATGCATTTAGGAATCTTTAAGATTACTTACAACAGAACAGCAATGCATTTTATAGACGACCGTTTCGTGAACCTAGGAGAGGAGGTAATTCTGACTTTGCTATGACAATCTAGCGCTTCTGAATCAGCTACTGTTTTGTTATTAGCATAAGTATTTGCTATTGACTGTTCAAATGCAGAGTTTTGCGCATCGTGTGTGTGTGTGCGCGCGAGCGAGCGAG